GGTTTAGTTTTAGGCAGTCCTGCGACGAGGAGCAGGGAGTTGGACTCGATCCTTATGGGTCCCTTCCAACTCGAGATATTCTATGAATCTATGATTAATCTTTGTTAAAAAGTTAGATTAAGTTGTTTCTCATCTTCCTAGTAATATCCCACAATACAAACTGGGAAAGGAAAATAGTGGCAGTTTTGTTGATAATATTTTCATAAACTGAAATCAGGAATCTGTTTCTGACCTGTATCATTCTGGTAAGTACTGACAGTTACAATTGCGCAAATAAAGCTACTAGGAGCTGAATATTATGAAGATGTTTTTTCCACAGCAGCTGTAAATAAGGGATAGATCTGATTTTAAAAAAACACCAGTATGTTTCATTTTAAAAACAGTGGTACCCTCTCCATGTTCTCCCCATCCTTTTTGAGGTGGAGGGCTCAAAACTGGACACTCTATAGATACAGTCTCATGAGCAGGGAGTAGAGGAGGATGATACCCTAAGCATCTGATCCACTGTTGTAAATCAGGATGTCAGGCTAAATGGTTATATAGTCTGATCCAGTGCAGTAATTGTATTCTTACTGTCATAGAAATGGAATAGTAAATGCTTATTACAGCCAGTAGAAGTAATCTCTAAATACATTCATGAAACTTAGCACGGTTAAGGTTTGCATTTTTAATCATAACTGCAAATTAATATGTTGCTACTTAAATATACTTATGTACTTCTCTTGTTCTGACACAGAATGTTTCTAGTTGTCAAAAACAAGTTGTAGGAAATGCCAATTAGCTTTGAGACCTTGACATAGGTTAAGATAAAAGGCAATGAACCATTTAAAAAAACAAGTCAGGGAGTATTTGCCACTTTAAAATAAAGTTACTGATTTTGTGTGCTGCTTTAGTGTATTGTGATTTTCCATACAAAATGTATGCTGGTAAAGGGAGAAAAACATGAATAAGCGATGTGCCCCTTATGAAATCAGCACAGATATGAGGGCCTGCGTTGTCAGCACTGAGGGTGCTTAGGCAGCCGCAAAGCAGCAGTTGGGCAGATGGGTAGTTCCGTACGTGACTGCTTTTTTTCTGCCAGTGTAAGATTGCTGGTCCAAACATTTTCTTTGTGTCCAACTCCGAACTCTTATCTCTTAAAATCCACTAAAGACTGTAGTAGTAGAGGTCGTTATCAACTCCTCTGTGCGGTCATAGTGTTTAGCCACAGTTACCACCAGTGGGTCCAGTAATATTCAGTATAGAATCAAAAAGGATAAAAAGTCATGGGGCCTGACAGAACTATACAGTAAGGTTGGTAGTTAATGCTGTTCTGCAAACGCAGCTGAGTCCTGACTTACAGTTATAGCACATGCTCTCATTTATGCAAAATTTGGTAGTAAACTAAAGAGACTAGAGTGACCTCTTAAACTGACAGAATGATGGGGAGTGATTCTGAATAATATGAATCAGCTTAGCTTGGTTCTTTAGCCCTTCTGCGTCCACAGGTGAAAAGCACGTATAGAGTCTTCACATTTACATTGTATCAGGTTCTTAGGTCATCACACACACACACGTATGTTTGCGTATGTGCATGCAGTTCTGTGATCTAAAGAGGTAGCACTGATACATGGCAGATTCCATACATGGTGTCTTACTCAGTATTTTGCATTCGATATTGGTTGAACAGAGGTATGTAATGAATTGGGTGGACAGGCCAGTGTATCAACGCTGGACATGTGACAGCAGAACCCCTGGTGTCAGGGATGGGAAAGGCAATTGGAGCTTCAAATTCAGAGTCAGTCTTAGCAAGTTAGAGAGATATAGTTAGTACAGTATTCTGTGTGACATCAGTGTAGAGGGTGTTGGAAGAGAAAAATAATAGATGCTTGGCGTCTCACTTGATTATCCCTGTGTTTTTGTTGTGCAGAATAAGATATAATGACTCTTCAGTTTTCAGATTGCATGCGAAGTGCGTGGTAATTCAATGCCAGAAGCTATGCGTGTTGAAAAGATTGGTTGTGTTTTATAAGCTATTCATATCCAGTTTATGTATTATGGGAATTTTTAAACCATGTGTTGTCCAGAGAGGTCTTCTCAACTACTGCTTTCTTGAATTGTCTCTGCTTTAGCAGATGCATATTGATGATACTAGTGTGTAAGCAGGGCCTTTAAAATCAGGTGCCTTGCATGTATGGCAGTTCTTTATCATATATATTTTCACTGAGTCATCTTTCTGAAATGGTATTCTGAAGACTCTTTCCATGTAAATATACTCAATACCCATTTCCATGTGGACAGGAGAGGAAAAAAGTGAATCTTAAGTTTGCTCACAAATTCAATGATTTTGTTCTATTTCTGTAGTTTCCTCCTTCCCTTTACTTGAATGCAGGTTCCTTAATTGCTGTGGTAATCATTAAGATTACATAAGTAGTGCTTTTAAGATTCTTAGATAGTTCCATTGTAAGTATAATACGTGGGTTTTATTT